CCACTTGTCCATTCCAACATATCATGTCTCTCTTGTTTCTAGTTCAGGTTACCTAGTTCCGTTAACCCATTATTGCACATAGAAGATTTGGCTTCTCACGTTTTTTTGCCTACGTTGCCATTTTGTCAAGGGTTATATTAAGTCTTTATGTCCGCATAAATTCTTTTGGGCCTTTTTTCCTTGCATGGGCTTGTCTAAATTTTGTCTAGTGGGTTGCACTTTCGATGTAATAATAGCTTTCAAGGCTTTATGACTAAAGCATTAATGGATCCTATCCAATTTAATTAGGCTAGAATGCCTTAATTAAATTTGGGTATAACATAATGTTACCTATAATCTAATTCGTCTTGTATCTTCTAGGGGTGTTCACTATTCGGTTTTAACTAAAAAACCGAATCAAACCAAATCAAACTATCGATATCGATTTCGTTTTCTTTTATGAAATTTAAAAAATAAAACTAAATCGAAATTATTTTGGCTTTTGGATTCGGTTCGGTTTTTTATTTTTTAAGTTCGAGTGAAAATCGAAAAACCGAATTAATTTTTTTTACTATAAATATATTTGTTTTTTTTTTAAGAGAGAACAATCATCCCCTCCTCCTCCCCCTTTGAATAATTATCGAGTAGCATCAAAGTATTATGATCATTTACATAAATTCATTCTTAATTTCATCCCAATTACAAAAAAACAACAGAGAAATGCATGGAAATTTAACATAGGCAATTATATTCCAAACTTGATTTTGCAAATATATTCAAATACTAAATCTCCAACCATAGGACCATAGCTACTTGGGCATAAAGGCTATGATCATCAACAAAACATGAGATTTTATACCAAATATCAATAGTTCAATGTGAATTTTTTTAAAAAAAATTCAAAAAAAAATAATGGTTAAAAACCAAATAACCGACAATCAAAACCACAATATCAAATAACAATTCAGTTTGATTTCGATTTTCTTTCTTAAAAGTTTAATTAATCGAAAACTGGCTAAAATATTTTGAAACCGAACCAAAAAACCGATTGAACACCCCTAGCATCTTCTTCACCTGCATGGTAAAATCAGTCCGAAGCATCTGATTGTGCCTTTTTGGCTTCTACTTTTCTTTGGTCCGACAGTTTCCTACATGGACGTCCACTGTCTTGTAACTCCACTTCCTCTTTCGGAAGATATCTTTCTTCGAGCCATTAACCGTCTCTGGCTTTCCTTAATTCCCCACTGAGGGAGTAGGAGTTCCAAGAAAGAAACAGACCAAGAAAAATACCCCTACCACATATATATATATATATATATATATATCACTCTTTTTTTTTTTTTTATCTCAAAAATCATACGAAACAATTTTATTTTCACTAACAATTCACCCTTCCATTCGTCAAAAAAATCATGGACTTTAAGCTATATAGCTTTAGGTCACACAATGAAACATGGTTATTACTATATATATATATATATATATATATATATATATATATATATATAACTAAAAGAGGTAGAATTTTTGAATGGTAATTTTCACTAGTCATCCTCTCATAAATCACTATTTACTCTTTTTTTTTTTTTAATTTTCAAGTTATTTCATTTTGGTCCTTAACTTTTTTTTAAAAAAATTTAACCCTCTAGCTGATACATTACATTTTTTTTTTTTTGGTTTTTTCCTTTTGATTTTTTCGTCAATTTATGTTCTTTTTTTTATTTATTTAACCGAGTGTTAAAATTTTAAAAAATCAATCGTTATTTTTTTCACATAAACTGACGATTATATAATATATACGATATGTTTTTCGATTTGAGAATAAATATATACTACTTTTATTGTTTAAAATTGATCTTTTCAATTTATTATAAAAATTCACATCAAGTTAATTTTTATTCTTATTTTTATATAATTTTATTTATTAATAAATATGATTTATTTTCTATATATATGGATTTGAATAAATTTTTTTTACACCTATTTTTATTTGCTTAATTCTCATATAATCAAAATTTAAAAATAAAATATTTTTATTTTATTTTCTTATTCTTTATATAATCAAATTTTATCGAAATCAATTTTATATTTTTTATTACACTCTATTAATTTAAAGATATATTTTATAATTTAATTTTTTAAAAATATTTTTCAATTTATGCTATACATTCTCACTCATTGAGTATGGTCATGATGTATAAAAAAAATTATATTAGAGTCATTGATTTTATTAAAAATCGACTATGCATCTACACACAATACCAACTATTTACTATTATTTTTTAAATATTTTTAAATAAAATAATTGAAATAATATTTTAGAATAACTGCCTAATAATTCAAATACAATTTTTATACTAATATTATTCATTATTTTGTAAATAAATATATATAAATCAAATCTATATATTTAAAAAAATAATCTTCTCATCGGTTAAAAAACTTTATTTGTTATTTTTCATACAAATTTTTGTATTAATTGTTGTTTTATTTCTTCGATGCAATGTTATGAAATAAATATTAAGATGTTTTTTAAAAAATTTATATTAAAATTTTTTTTATTATGGGTTTTTATTTAAGATTAATTGCTTAAAAAAGAACAAATCATATTTTTTTTACTTCAAAATTTATTCAAAACATAAAAAATATGTATAGATACAAAATTTTGATTAAAAATTATAAAATTAGATAAAATTTTATTTTTTATATTTAATTTAATATATTTTAATTAATCGACAATATAGTATGTATTATTAAACTAAAATAAATATATTTAGTTTGGTTGGCAGCGTAGCATGAGAATCCGAACTATTTATATACATAAAATTCCTATTCACTTATTCTTCATATGCATAAAATTATTATTTACTTGATGGTGATTTAAGTAATTTTTGTAGGTGGTTTTTTTTTTTTGGCATTAATATGTAAATTTAACACTTTTTCTTATTTTTGTCTCTCATGCTATAACATTTTTTTTTCAATTCTCGACTTTCATTTTTCTTTCATTTACATGCGGCGTATGTATATTATATTTTAAAATTAACATATACTTTAGCCTATATTACTCTTATTATTAAAATTTCATTCTTTGAATTTATCTTCTTTTTTTTTTAATTCTCATTCAATTAATATTTTTTATACAAAACTTTATTTATCGATAAATATAATTTACTTTTCTCTATATTTGAATTTTAGAGTAAAATTTTAAAACATGATTTTTTTTCTTTTTCAAAAAATAAATTGGTGTAATATATATCATGAATTCTTAGAATTTTTAAATGATAGTTGCATATATATAAATATATAATTATTTTATTCTAAGAGATTAAAAGTGTTCCAAATAATTTATCTCGAGTTCACTAGGTATGGTCAAAATGTATAAAAAAAAACTATTAAATCATTATTTTTATTAAAAAATAACTATACATCTTCTAACATAATACAAATTATTTACTATGAATATTTTTTTTAATATTATAGAATCAATTTATTTGAAATAGAGTAATTAAAATAAGTTTTTTAAAGGAACCAATCAATTATTCAAATACGAGTTTTTTATGCTAATTTTATTGATTATTATTTTGTAAATTAATATATAAAGATCAAATGAATATACTTTTAAAAAAATAATCTTCTCACAAACATTAAATAATAATAAAATTTTATTTTTTCATTAGTTAATTTTTTTTTTTGAATTCTTAATTAATATTTTTTGTTTGAATTATTATGAGTTTTTATTTAAGAATTCTTGAATAAAAAAGAATAAATCATATTTTTTTAAGCAGAAATTTTATGAAAAACACAAAAAAAATTAATAATTAAATAAAAAATTAATGAAAAAATTATAAAATTTTGAAATAATTTTGTTCTATCTCACTGAAGCATTTTGCAAATAATTTAAAAAATTAATCTTCTCATCAGCATTAAATAGAATTTTTTTTTCATTTGTTAATTTTTATAAAAATCTATCCATTAATTATAACTTTGTTTTTTGAAATACAATATTATAAAAAATATGTTTTTAAAGTTTTTTTTTATTCTTGATTAATATTTTAGTTTAAATTATTATAATTTTTTATTTTAAAATCAATCCATAAGTAAGAATGGTTTGTTTTTTTTAAGCAGAAATTTACAACAAAAAAAAAAACATTAGAAAAAATTGATTAAATAAAAAATTATAATAAAAAATTAAAAAATTTCAAAATAATTTTATTCTATCGGATTCACAGCATAATATGGGTAACTGGTTAGTCTGCTGCTACACAATAACACAACAAAAAATAATCATTTCTCATTGCATAATAATCAAATAAACTAAAATTATCATAACAATAAATTGAAATTACTAGAAGTCTTGAGCATGCTTTGCTTTACTATAAAAAAAAAAAAAATACTGAATACACAATTGCTAAATAATATCTATTTGGGACACCTCAAACATTCCTAAAAACAAATTTTTTTTGCCTTAAAAATCAGTAATATAACAATTCACTTTCATTTTTAACCTCATATCAAATAAGGCCTTAGAACGAAGCGTTAGGAAAATGAGGTTTTGAGAACGTAAAGAATTTATGCCTCTTAAAAATCACTATGATAATAATTCACTTTCATTTTTAACCTCATATCAAATAAGGCGTAAGAATGAAGTGTTAAGATTGTAAAGAATGTTCAGTGTTGAGATCGTAAAAATATGTTTAAGGGATGGAGTTAAAAAAAAATGAGGGTAATAATAATTCCCAAAATAAATCAAATCAAAAATTAAATTAAACCCTTTAACCCTCCTCTCCCACAGTTTCTTACTTTCGACAGTAATATAAAGTCAAGTGTATGATTTCCCTGACATGTCGGGGTACGGACCAAGAATCATAATGAACAGAATCGAGGTACAAGAAGACCAATCCAACACCCTTTGCTTCTATTGATCTGACTGTATTCGACTTAAATAAACTGCACTGCCACAATGCTTGATCAGGGGCTATAATGTGGGGTTTAATTATAGGATAAAAAAAAAAAAAAAAAATTCATACATCGGTCAAGATCAACGAAGATACAATCACAACATACGCCAGAAAAAAGAAAATTGCAATCTGCACAAAGAACTTTGGGTTATCTCTCATGTTTGGGGATGTCACTGCCCTGTCAATCAGAAAACCAATCACTTCGTTAAACTTTGCAAACTTTGACAAACCTCAAATGGAGGGAATGTGAAAAAACGAAAAGATGAAAGACTATTCAATTGATACTCTAGAACAACTTTCATTGGATAGAAGGAAAGAAAGCAAATCAAAATTCTGTAGCCAATCTGCAAATTAATACCTAGCAATTCGCTGAGAAAACCGTTGAAAGGGCAAACTTTGGATAAAGACAATGCCTGGTCCTGTTATAGTGGCTGTTACTAAATTGTCACCCTGCAATTCCAAAGACAGTTACGAACAGCCAATTTTTGCAAATGTTAAGTTTCTATTCAAGTGATTCAGGGTGTTTTTTGTAAACAAAGAATCTATCTTCAACTTTGTTGATTCATTATTTCGTATTGTGGGTTTTAGGTCCTGTAAATGAGCACTTGGGTTTCATTGTGCAGAAACAGAGCAGGGTAACCTGGGAATCTTGATGTCAGGTAAAGATTAGAGAAAACTAGCGAGGCGCTATTTTCTTAATAAAAAATGACAAAGTTCCTGCATTGTTTTTATGTGCTGCTAACAACAAGACAAGAAAAGGACCATGGCCTGGTCAAACTTTTTCTGTTTGCTGTTCAGGATTAACCTGACATATGCCAACAGTGTAAACGCGCTAACTCAGCCAACTAACAATATCACATTAGGCAAGAAGCCTTAAGAGTATTAAATGATTACTACGATTGAATAACAAGCAAACTAGGAAAAAGTCCACTGCATCAAATAAGAATAAGGGTGTCAACAAGCAAAGACCAAAGTAAACAAAAAACAAAAACAATGCGAGAGATAGAGAGCGAAATCTATAAAACAAAGCAACTTACCCCAAAGACAGCCCGTCTCACAGGCCCATTGTATTTGATTTGGACATTGACTGTGGTATTAAGGGCGACAACGCAAGACATGTCAACAGCTAATACCTCACCTGCCTCAAGAACTTTCTGTGCAACTAGCAAAAACAAAAACCATAAAGTTCCCAGGGTCAGGATGGATCCAGAAACTATTTGAAAAAAAGAACAGGCAGTAAAAACATACAGGAAAAAAAGGCATATATAGATTCAAAGATCAAGCACAACAGGGTTAAAGCAATGGAAAAGGAAAATGACAATATAAGAAGAAGAACAGAAAGGAAACAAGCGAGTGGGTGTAGTAAACAAGCATGGCCTGACACTGAAGCATGCCAATATATTCCAACCCACAGAGATAAGCCTAAAAGGCTAAGCTGTTCCTGATCCAATCGCATAGAGTAGAGTTGAGGGAAGATCCGTACTTTTATAAGTCATTAATAGCTCTTAAGCTGCCAGAAAATACATACCAGATCCTCCAGCAAGAATAAATGCAAGTCCCTGTCCAGTTAGCTTCTGCCTCAAAAATCCCTACAGAAGCATCAATATTCCCATCAAACAAATAAATAAATCGGAAGACTTGAGAAACGAACACAGATAGACAGGTTAAAAACAGGACGGACCATGACAGTCAGTCAACAAACACAAAAAGATAAAACAGAAAATTTAGAGGGGGAGTGCTCTGACAACCAACATAACCTCACCTCTATACTAGGCATGACATTGCGTGGCCTCTGATCTACTGTATTGCTGACCTTCACATCACTGACAGAACAAAGGAATGCATCTGGCTACACAGCAATTTGACAAAGACATAAATTTGCGGCAGGTAAAAGTAAAGAGAAAAAACATATTTCTACTTTGAAAATCATATAATAGCAAGAGTATTCAAGGTTTTTAATTGCAAAACGTCCAGTAACATAAAAAGACAATTCTTATCAGCACAACCAGGGACACAAACAAAAAGTGTGAATTAGCTTTACCTGGCATAAAATCTCTCCTCCAAACTTCACCAAGTCAATCTGCAGAACAAAAGAACACCAGACTAGGCAAAATTACAAACTGATGGCCATTTGTATTAAATAATAAATTTAGGATCATGAGTTCAACACAAGATAAAAATAATGCATCTCAGAACTTGACATGTTAGAAGCGCAAACCGGGAGGATTCTTGCAAGAGAAGGTGCAGCAATTCCAACAAATCCATCACTTGGCCCAGGATTGCGGAAGACTACACTGGTAACAGCCTTGCCAAAAAACCACTGCCAGACCCCCACCTCATTTTCAGGGATAAAAACATTCTCCATTTCAATGGATCCAGACATGAAGCACATGGAACCTGCAATTTACTTGGATATTAGTTCCATGCAGCATACTAATAGTGAATGAAAGGTGTGTTTCATAATTTAATGCAGAAGATAAAAACGAATAAAATATCAGTCAGCTGCAAAGCTAACACAGAGTTGCATAGGCCATAAAGAACACAGTTTAGATCACCTTACCTGGTTTCGCAATAACTTTTTCTTGTGGATTCAACATTATCTGAACATGCAAAAATCAGTACCAACGAAGAATCTTAGAGCAGAAAACCAAAAAGGAGTAGCATATAGCTAGGGATAACTATTACACAAACCTGAACCACCTGAGCTTCACCTCCAAAAATCTGGAAAGGTATCACAGCATCTTGATGACTCTACATCACATTATCCCTCATGAGATTATGCAGTGCATGTAATATTAGCAAATTCAAATATAGAATCTCAACAGCAAAGGAGGCAATATACTTCATAAAGAGGACAGAACTGATGATACCAAACCAGACAAACATCACCCCACATTGGTTTCTATCTACTTAATCATCAATCATACAAATTGTCTGGTGAAATTTCATTAAAAAATTATCCATTAGATTACAAAACAGTTTCCTAAGATAAAGGGGTCATAACAATTGCTACACGGAACCAACTCCAACAACCCCTCTCCAAATCAGATTTTATTTTCCTTTTATTAGCCTGCCACATTAATCATTCCTGTTTTATTATTTTCTTCTTCACATTCTTCTTATATCTTCATCCACTTGCTTCCCCTTATTATACAATCTTTATATTCATATTCATATTGACATAGCCACCGACAAAGAAGAACCAAACTTAAACCTAGAGCAAGTTCCCAAAAAAACCACAGAATGAGCTACCAAGAATCTTCCTTGGGACAGGAAGAAGAGTTTTGCAAACTAGATTTTGAATGTTTGCTGATGAGGTGAGAAGCTCAAATGTTAGACAATCCCAATAACAATTAAGTGATACCAAGTCCACAATATTCCTTAATTTAAAAAAAAAAAAAAAAAAAAAACTCCCATTTACACAAAATCTTGTTAAACAGTAAAACATAGATCACATTTATATCAAATTGAGCAACACAGTCACTTCCACGACTCAATGAAGACAAATCCAAAAAGGGATCAAACACCAAACCACACTAAAACCCTAAATTTAACATCCATCAACGGACCACCACTCAATTTAATTTTTATTTCTTGATCTCAGCATCAATTATATGCACGTAATAGTGAAAATAGAGTGAAATCGTGTACCTGATAAACGTAAGGTTGAAACGGAGTAGAAAAGAAAGGTGCAGCCATTGAGAAGCTAGGATTGAGAAGAAGCAGATATCGAGAAAGAAAACTAAGTCGTTTAATTATATTATGGAGATAAATAAAATTGGTTCCATTTACGTGATCAGATCGCGAATTAGAATATTCACTTCACTTACAGAAAACTAATCTAAAATTAACAGAAACAGAGTCACGAAATTGAACAATTCTTTTTCTTTTTTTCTAATTTTATATATATATATATATATATATATATATATATATGTATGTATGTATGTATGTATGTATGTATGTATAAGTTTTGGCTGTTGGCGAAATAAATAGGGATGTATTGAATTACGAAAAAGTGCTTTGATTTCTGTTGATTTGCCTTTGAAAAGTTACGTAATTCAGTGGCGCTGTTAATGGCCTGTTCGTCAAGTTCAAGTGTAGGGTCTTTAATACTTTTTATTTTCGCGATAATGATTTGCTGGGGGATTAATTTGACGGGTTCCACGTGGAGTAATGATGAGGTGGCATATTTTTATTGGCTGGAGTGTCAAATCTCGACGTGTTGGAAGAGTTTTTTGTATGTTCTTGTGCGTACAGTAGAGAGGGCATCTGCCGTCTCCTTTCAACGAAAAAAAGATGAAAGGATGCGACGGCATCGTGTTTCAAAATTCATTAATAATACGACAAAATGGGTCTCGTTATTAATGGGCCTTACCCGTTTGACAAAGCATTTTACCCAGTTAAAAGCCGTAAAATTACCCATTCCATTTATATTATAAAAGGCCTTTAAAACCAAAATCCATTGAGCCCAGTCCTATCATAAAGCTCCTGGATCTCTGCCCCACAAAGAGGCTTATTTTTATTTTCTTTTTTTATTAAATTTCCTATACGAAATTCCTACAAGATAATCATTCAGTTTTTTAATTTAGCTTTTGGTTAACGGAACCTATTAAAAAAATCAAATTTGAACCAAATTATTATTTGATTTTTTAGTTTAAAAACTAAAATTTAGGTTTTTGGTTTCGGTTTAAATCGATTTTTAAAAAAAAATCTAATTTTTTAAAATAATGTAAATAGATAAAAACATCATCAATCCATATATATATATTAAATTATTGATTTTTTTATTGTTTCAAAACTTAAAAAAAATTAGAAAAAAATATTTTTATTTTTTGTTAAAACGAGCCAAAAAATTCAAAAACCACATGGAACCAAAAAAATTCCGTCCTACGAAGGCCTATAAAACCAAAATGCATTGAGCTCAGTCATATCATAAAGCTCCGCGATCTCTGCCCCACAGAGAGGGCTTATTTTTATTTTTATTGAATTTTCTATAGGAAATTCCTACCAAGAGAATCTTTTAGTTTTTCAATTTAGCTCTTGGTTAACCGAACCTTAAAAAAATGAATTTCTATTTGATTTTTAGTTTAAAAAGTAAAATTTAGGTTTTTGGTTCCAGTTTAAGTCGATTTTTTTTAATTTTTTCTAATTTTTTAAAATAATATAAATAAATAAAAAACACCATCAATTCATAATCTATCTATAATAATGTTAAGATCTTGATTTTTTTGGTTTATTTTTATTATTTTAAAACTTAAAAAATGATAAAAATATTTTGATTTTTTTTTAAATCGAAACAAAAAATTCAAAAACCACATCGAACCGAAAAAAATCAATTGCTTTTTTTTTCTAATTTTTAAATTAAAAATCGAATCAAGATTGATATTTCAATTCAATTTGGTTTTTCGATTTAAAAGATATAGTACTTGCTCTTGCCTATAATTTTTATGCAATGGCATTATTTGTATGTTAAGCGAGTTATGACTTATGAGTTAGCTCTTAATACTGTAAGTAGCTAAACATAGGAAGGGGTTGAGTCGCATTATCAAATTAATAGTCTCATTGAATTATGTTTATCTACATGTGCAATTTCATAGTTGCGTTTTTAGATTTGATAGAGTTAAGATTTGTGTTAGTATTGTAGCAATGTAGATCCTTATTACTCGCATGACTTACACGATCAAACACATATCTATATGTATTAAATTTGTGTGGGAGGTTTTTGAGAATTAATCAAACAATTGATTGATAAATCAATTAGGATACATAAAGTTAGTATTGTCATTTATAAAACAATAATTAACCAACTAACTAGAATGGATGCAAGTAGTGAAAGACATGAAATGAGAAGCATATAGTGCTAACAAGATGCAAGACGCGCGATTGGCACGTATGTGAGTCAAAGTTTGCAAGTCAAGTGATTGAAATACGAGTGAGTTAAAGTCCATAAGTCAAGTGATTGGCGAGTGGATGAGTCAAAGTTCGACAAATAAAGTTTTAGATATTGTCTAGTGCGTGAGTGAGAGAGTTTTAAGAGAAAAAATTTAAAAGTTTTTTTACTAGAGATCAAGAGTTAGAATCTCCTCCCAATGATGTGAGGTTAGTATTTATAGTGAATTGAAGATGACGTTTGATTGCAAGGGATCATGCTTCGTTATCTATGTTTAGATCACTAGATTTGAATTAAAGAAATTAGGTTTTTGAAACTAAACGAGTTTGAACTTACTAGCAAAAGGCCAAAAAGAATAATAATTGAAATTTTATTTAGTGTTATCTACTTTGAGTCCACTAAACTAATTTTTCTAATGCATCTCAAAGTCAAGGCATAAATACTAATCCTACTAGAATACTTGTGTGCATTTTTGTACGACCCGGACACAATAAAAAAACTAAAAAAAAAATAGCAATGGACTAAAAATAATCTTTAAATAATGAGTAAATAGAGACCGAATAGCATCTATTTAATTTAGCGATGGAATAGAAACTGTTTAGTGACAGATTATCAATAACGAAATATTTACGATGGATAACATTCCATCGCTATTTGGGGTGCCAAAATCATCTCGGGGTTTTTAGAGACGGATTCGCAATGGAATTGCTACGAAAATCTACAACGGGTATCTATTACGTCGTTATTTGTAATGTTTTGATTTAGAAACGGATAATTGCTAGCATGCCAAATTCATCACTAAATCTAAAAAAATGGGTGGCCATTTGCTAAATTATGACTAATTAGCGATGGGAATGTTTTCGTCGCTAGTTGTAAAAAATGCGTAGCTTTCGGAATTAATTAGTCGCCTATTTTACGAAGGAATAGCAATAGAAAATTAATTTTCTTTGCTGAATAGTGAATTAGTAGCAATGAAAAAGTTTCATTGTTAGATGTAAAAAAAAATGGACGATCGTTTAGAATTAATTGGACATCCATTTTACAAGAGAATAGCAACAAAAACTTACGTCCATTACTAAATAGCGATAGATTAGTAACAGGATTACACCCATCGCTAGTCTCAATCCATAATTTAACCTCTCGTTCTCTTTGTTCTTCTCTCATTTATTCTTCTTCTAGCCTCTCTTCTCTCGTCCGTCGGCACCTCCCCCACCCAAAATCGTCCGATAATCGTAGTCCTCCACTACCCATCAATCTACACCCACTCCAACCTCTTTTCTTCCAAAAAATCCCCTATTTTTTTGTCCTTCCTCTTCTTCTCTTCAAGTCTAAATTGTTAGGTAAGCTTTTTCTCTCTCTCTTTTGTTCTTTAAAAGTTGGTTATTTTCGTAATTGTTACGTTAGTTTTAAATTTAATTGGTTAATTTATAATTTTGTATAATTTTAATTGTTAATTTTTTTATTAATTTGTTAAATGAATATTTTTTGTTAATTGTTAGGTTAGTTTGTTAATTAATTGTTAGTTTGATTTAGGTTTAATTAATTTATTAGGTTAATTTTTCTTAATCTGGTTGATTTAATTTAGGTTTAATTAATTAATTAGGTTAAATTTAATTAATTATTCATTTATAGATTAATTTGTTAAAATGTTGTTCTTTGGTGATCTTTAGGTTAATTTGTTAATTAATTGTTAATTTGATTTAGTTTTAATAAATTAATTAGGTTAATTTTGATTAATTGGTTGATTTGATTTAGGTTTAATTAATTAGTTAGGTTAATTTTGATTATTTGGTTGATTTGATTTATGTTTAAATAATTAATTATGTTAAATTTGATTAATTGGTTGATTCGATTTAGGTTTAATTAATTAATTAGGTTAAATTTGATTAATTATTAATTTATTGTTTTTTAATTAATTTTTAGGTTAATTTATTAATAATTGTTAGTTTTATTTAGGTTTAATTAATTAATTAGGTTAAATTTGATTAATTGGTTGGTCTTTAATTTTATTTCTATTGGAAATTGTTAATTAATTTTTAGTTAAATTTAATTAGGTTTGAATTAGGGATAATTTGATTTAGGTTAAAATTAATTAGGTTTGAAGTAGAATTAATTAGGTTAATTTGAATTTGGCTTAATTAATTAATTAGATTGAATTTGATTTAGGTTTAATTAATTAGGTTAAATTTGATTAATTGGTTGAGTTTTAATTTTATTTTTATTGAAAATTGTTAATTAATTTTTAGTTAAATTTAATTAGGTTTGAATTAGGGTTGGTTTGATTTAGGTTTAAATTAATTAGGTTAATTTGATTTAGGCTTAATTAATTAATTAGGTAAATTTTGATTAATTAGTTGATTTTTAATTTTATTTATATTGGAAATTTTTAATTAATTGTTAGTTAAATTTAATTAGGTTTGAATTAGAATTAATTAGGTTAATTTGATTTAGGTTTAATTAATTAGATTTGATTAGATTAGATTAATTGTTAATTTTTTGATTAATTTGTTAAATTGTTATTTTTTTGTTAATTGTTAGATTAATTTTTTAATTAATTGTTAGTTTTATTTAGGTTTAATCAATCAATTAATTATGTTAATTTTGATTAATTGGTTGGTTTTTAATTTTATTTATATTGGAAAATTTTAATTAATTGTTAGTTAAATTTAATTAGGTTTGAATTATGGTTAGTTTTATTTAGATTATTTAATTAATTAGGTTAAATTTGATTAATTGGTTTATTTTTAATTTTATTTATATTAGAAATTGTTAATTAAATTTAATTAGGTTTGAATTAGGGTTAATT